GACACTGATTACTGCAACTTTCTTCATAATTATTTCTTACACAAACCTTCTTCATTATCCGCCTGGTTTTGTCCAATGCTGGAAGATGATTGGACCTGAAGCAAGTGTAAGCTCGGTCAGCTCGGCTTAGCGTGTGGATCCCGCTAGGCATAACTCGTTTGTTACACAACTTTTTATACTTAACTCACATAGGTACGTGATCACTATTCCTGTTAAATATGGCACTCGTTCCTTGGGTTGGAGTGAACTATTAGGTTCATAGGTTTATGTTTCGGATTGTTTTCTATGTAGTACTGAAGTTAATCCTCTTACAATTTGTAAGTGGATTTTTAGTCTGGCGTGAAAGCTAGCGAGATACATAGGGTGAAGGATATAACATATAGGTTCCTGTGGTGAATTTATGATCATTATGATGATGATATTATTATGATATTGGAAAGCATAATTAGGTACCTATTTCTTATTTCTTGCTTCAACTCGTAAATTAAACGAATCATTTTTCGTTATAAAAATGAGGGCTAGATTTTTAAGTTTCTTCTTGGAAAATGGCAACAACGAGATAGCATGTCGTAATTAAAAAACCAGGTTGAGGTATGTTAAGTGGTTAGAAGGAGTACCTATACATGGTATGGCACGCGTATATGGGTAGATAGATAAACAAGCAAGGTTTCCAGGAAAGGATCGCGATCGCGCGGCCGCCCTGCCGCCCTGCCGGTCATGGTAGCTACCGCTAACCAAAGGATTAATTAATTTGATAAAAATAAAGGTTTATACCTTCCTAACATAATCCGATACGCTCTATGTAAAATATGACATTGTTTTACTTTTTATTTTTGAAACCTAGGTAACTACTTCTTAAAAGCTCTGGACAGCAGTTAAAAATATAAACGGCCTGGTCTAGACTAGACTAGACTTATACCGTATAAGTCTATTCTAAACATAGGTGGGTAATCTAATCGTGTCCTGCTGAAGTATTATTGTAGAGTTCACTAGTACCTAGCATGTCAATGCTACGACCATCAGTTATGTAAATATATATGTACATCACATAATTACGTAATAACCATATAATAGGTATTATTGCTTGGTTGGTCGCTACACTACCGCTCTGCGTACCGGTCGGTAATCAACTGACCCAACAGAAGAACCTGCATTTTATTTATTATCTGCATAATATGACAGATGGCATCTGTCATATTATGCAGAGGTGTATAGGATGTACGAATCTAACTAAAAATCGGATCGCGGATTAATCACGTGAATATACTGAGAAGAGCTCTACTAGTTTCGAACCACATAGGGGTTCTTCCTCGTGAGCAGCGTGCGCAGTCGCTGCGACCGTATATTCACGTGAGAAACCCGCAATTTTTAGTTAGTTTAGTATTTCTTACGATAGTTATTATAAAAATATATACTAATCCTCGCATACACTAGGTACAACTACCAATATTGAATAACATAAGCATAAGGTTACGCACTGGAGGATAAATGAGTTCCTTAGGATTAGGGTGGAGCCTGATTTAAGCCTGATTTAGGTATGGTTACAATAGCTCAGCTTTCAATTTACGGCTTCACCTCAAGACAATGGTTATTGGAATGCCTGCTGAAGTTTATTGCGAGTTTGATGCGGTGTTAGTCAGTTACGAATTTACGATAATAGTGAACGTTTTATATCCTACGCCTAACGCTTTAGAGATAGGTAACTAGGTATTTCAAGTTATCTAAACATAAAATAGTACACCCTTTCAGTCTCCAACGGGGTAGCAAAGTATTTGTTCTTTCTCATAAGCAGCGTGCGCGGTCGTGGCGATGTCGCGCAGCCTGCTAGTAGAACGCTGAAGAACCCCTCTGTGGTTCGAAACTAGTAGTGCTTTTCTCAGTAGATATAATTCACGTAAGTAGCCCGCGATTTTAAGTTAATTTAGTTTGTGACACGATAGTTATAATAAAAAGTAAGATCATCTTACCAGGTTTGTGATGGCGGTGTTTCTTTCCTTTGGCGGTGACAGCCGCCACCAGCAGTGCCAGCCAAAGACCACGCCACCGCATCCTAAGTACCTAACATCACACTACACAGAAAAACACAAAGATTTTGCTTTAAAACTCCAAACTATTTATCTAAAACTCACGATCGAACAAACATTTCTTTTCAATATTTATTAACACACTTGTCAGTCAAATATTACTTTTTAAACAACATATAGATACAACACAATAACAGATTTATGTAAGTGTTCAAGATAACACAAAAGTTTGTAATGTTTACGCACGAAATAAATCCCGAGAGTACAAGAATAAACGCGCGCGTGACACCACAGCCACAGAAAGCTTGTGGTCGACTGACGAAGTTATTGTGCGACTAGAGCAAGAAGCAAGAGACGGCCAGGCCGAGCCCGACTTCTTGCCGCGAACCGGTAACAGGCGGCCGGCGGCCGGCGGCAGGCCGTGGAACTCACGAAAACATTGTAGGTACGACGCACAACAAAAACAACCACTTTGAGAAGCTCAACTATCGACATTAAGTTTAATTCAAATGAAAGAAGTATGAATTTATTTATAGCAATTGATTTTAAACAAGTTTTCATTCATCATATTACAAAACATTGCGTGCGTGCTTTTATTTATCTTTTGTACTCGAAGTTCAAAAGCTCTATTTCGTTTGCGTATTGGATTACAAAACTGGTTTTGCATAGTACCGCTACTCGACGCCAGATGGCAATCAAGAGATATTTTATTTGCCAACTCTTGAATCCTTAAAATTATAGCACAGAAGTTTGGAAAGTATCATTTACTATAATAATTTATAAATGGTTAATTTTAAAATCGGTAAGCTGTAATAGGCCTTTTGCCTCAATAAACCAACTTTGTTAAATGTCTTAAAATACTTTGTAGAAATATTAGTTTAGCGCCACCTACCGTACAATAGTAACTACTTAGCTATTTGCCTCAACTTACTTATTTTGATTGTATAACCTAGATGGCGCTCTACGTGCTCTTCAGGTGCCTTCAGTAATTTGATTTTGTTAAGTTTTTTGATCGGCCTAAAGATGAGGATTCGATTACCGGGTCAGACAAAACATTATCAGACAAAGTAATAATGGATAAGTATATATGGTAGGTACCTATGCTATATGACATTGTACCCGATTTGTGGCAGTAGAGTCATCAATAATTAATTATAGCACGTGGCTCCCAAGTCCCAACCACTACTTTCTGGGACAAGCCCGCCCGATATCTAGCCTAGATTAGTATTTTTGTCTATTTAATACTACAGGCTACCTTTATCCGTTTTGAACACCTTATTGATGTATATCTTTTTCGAATAACGAAATTCTCAATAGCACAGAGTTTGGAATGTACGATTTGTTATAAAGATATTGAAATGCTGCCCAATTTTAAGTCGTCCTTAAACATCGTGCTATCTCTGTCATTTTACAAGGTATTCGAGGTGACATAACTATTCTGAGAGCAGCTTAGAATTGGGTATTTAACCATAAGACTAGCCATAAAGAGCTCTGGAACATTAAACTCCCCGAAGTAAAAATAAGTTACTGGAAGGCCAATCCTATTCCCCATCGTCAATCCCCAAAACCCTAAGTCCTAAAAGGCCGACAACGCAGTTGTAGATCCTCTGATGTGACTATGACCAGCAGGTGTCCATGGGCGGCGCCGTTGTTTACCATCAGGGTGATCCGTCTGCTCGCTGACAGTTCTACATGTTTGATCACCTCGCCTCGTAAGTGATCGTGATGATGTCGTTTGTTCAATTGGTTTCAAAATGGAAGTTTTGATCCGTGTCTTTTACCGGCTTCTATCATGATTTAAGTTCTGAACTTACATCTTATAAATAGTCACTGGTCATGGTCACCTTACCTGCCTCAAACAGTCACTGGTAGCTAGATATCACATTTTCAGGTCATCAATAATCACTAGCACTTAGATAATAATTTATGTCCCAACTGGTTAACTGCACAGTTGGCGCGGTGGCTGGGCAACTGGCTGCCGTGCAACGTGTCGCGGGTCTGATTCCCGCACGGAACAACACTTTGTGTGATCCACAAATTGTTGTTCCGGGTCTGGGTGTAATGTGTATGTGAAATTGTATGTTTGTAAATGCACCCACGACACAGGAGAAAAGGCTAGTTGAAATAAAAAAAACTTTAAGTGTTAAAACTGTAAACACTAATGCGCATCTGCTCCGTCTGAGCCCAATTCTTTAACTAACTGACACAAGAGTCACTGTTCCAAAACCTTTGTACAAAAACACGTCTACTCTCATATTTTCTGTACAATCTGTTACTATCTCGTCCAAAAACGTAAAACTGTCCACCTTTTGGCTAGTTTGTGCCACATACACAGCCACTTCAGCCTCCCAATCAGGAACCACTTTCGAAATTTATCAATAATAGCATAGAACAGAAATTAGAAATGTCCCGTAGCATGGGCTCGCTCCCTCTAGTGTGGGATTTATACCATAACTGGTTAAATGATTGTGTTCTTGTAAGTTGTATCGGACGGTAACATTGTCGACTAAGAACACAAGTGCTCTACATCAACAGTCATCGCTATACTCTATAATCGATTGCTGAAAGGTGACGATGACAGTTTTAGCTTTATTTGTCATCTGTAAGTGGGACACCAACCGGCTGAGTACTGGCCGGTTTATGTAAGTACCTACTTAAATTAATACGGGGTTTTACAACGAAGGGTAGGAATAATAACAATGATCAAAACTCATACCAAAAAACTTATTTATTTGACGATTACAATTATTCTATAATATCTATGAATAGTCGCAGAATTACAACGTGTATACAAACAAAGGATGAGGATTCGGGTCGGCAAATACAACCCAATAACATACCAACGATAAGCCAAAAATGTTTAATGTCATATCGATAAATTTACATTGCGTAACACTGCTGGCCGGGGGCGGGCGGGCCCCCCCCTGCGGGCCCCGGGCCGCTAGACGAACCACTCGTCCTTGTGCGGCGCGGCACTCAGGCCGCCCGCCGCAGGCGGCCCGCCCGCGCCGCCCCGCACGGGCCCGCAGGGAGCTCCGGGTTTCCCGGCAGTCGCGTCGCGCCTGCTTCTGCGCCCACGCCACTGCCGCCGCCATTACTGCTCGCCAGCTCTTGCACTGCGCGAAAATAAGACCAGTCAGTACTGAGCAGGTCGGCTCACTAGCCGCTGAGCGAGGCCTCGCAGGAAGATGGCGCACTCACAATGTAACCGAGTCCGCTGAGTAGCGGCGCGGCGGCGGCAGGCGCAGCACGCAGCCGTGGCAGCCGCTCCCGCCACCAGCGCCGCCGCACCTGCGCATCCCGCCACCCACGCACTGCCCGCGCCTGTGCCTCCGCTCTCTGACACAAACATTCTCCATTCATTTCAACTGGTGTCGACTACACTACTGGTACTGCTACTACTACTAGCCCGAAAGCTGCACTACTATCTACAGTTAAGCTATGGCGAGTATAATTAACCCAGGCTGCACTCTACAGCTCTACGCACTACAAGCGAATGCACACACGCACTCGCTAACCTGGGCACAGTGTAGCGGTGTCTTCGTCAGAGCCGTCGGCGCAGTGATCTACGCCATCGCAGGTGAGGTCTGCGCTTACGCAGAACTCACGCTGCTTACACCGGAACTCCTTGCACCCATGTTCTGGAACAACAGTGGGAAACGACATCAAAAATAGAGTGAACTCGTTAGATGTGCAGGTGACACGTGAGACGGGATGTAATCGTTACATTGTACAATATGCTGAGACTCAATGAGATGAGTGACACTCAAGTATAAAGATGTTAGAATAAAACGGGAAGAATAAAGACATGATAACATTTTGTTACTTCCGGAATCACTACATAGTATAAAACAAAGTCGTTATCCGACGTCTGTCTGTCCCTATGTATGCTTAGATCTTTAAAACTACGCAACGGATTTTAATGCCGTTTTTTTGTAATAAATAGAGTGTATCTTAAGGAAGGTTTATATGTATAATACATGTATATTGTCACTAGTACTAATAATCAGATAACCACCTATTGAACTCATCAAAAGGACAACTCAAAGTCAAAATCAAAGTCAAAATTATTTATTTCAATTAGACCAGGATGGCACTTTTGAACGTCAAACAACAAAAATTTATAAGTGAAGCTAGTTGCTCATTCCAAGGCGTAGATTCCTATGGAGAAGAACGAGCAAGAAACTCCATAGGTTACTCTTTTTCAATCAGGTTTACAATACAATTCTCTGATTACATAGTTTTATTGGTTCGATTATGTGAGAACAATGCAACACCTAAATCCAGTCAGAAAGACTAAAAAGCCTGAACTTCTCCGCCTTTAATATTGTATCTACCTACAACAGACTGCTATCTCACTCACTGTCCGGCTTCTAATCTGACATTAATTCCGCCTCACACTAGCGATGTGTCTCTCTACAATATAGTCACCGCACCGATTTAGGGAATGTATTTATTGTACATTCAAAATACACAATGGAAAGCTTTTCTTCATTTTATGGCCCTCTACACTTTAAAGTAAATTGGGACGACTTGATCAACATCGAAGTTAGAATAATTAATGATATTAATTTCAGAAAAGAAACCACAGATCCGTTTCTATTAGCAGAAAGATTACTTTTATATTTCAGGGCAAACGATAAAATACAAGAAGGCGGTAGTACGGCGCTCGCCAACCAAGCGAACTGACCCGAAATCTTGATTCTGATTGAAAAAGGAAAACATATTTATAAATTGTGGCTCGCCCTCAGAATATTGTTCATTGCCGTGTGTTGCCTCTGTACATTATCTAGAGATTAGACCTCTAACTGGTCAACAAGAGAAATCTGAGAATGAAAATAATTTTCCTACTAAAATAGGCATCATCGTGATCTTGATGAAATGTTACATTTTCTTTAAAAAACTAAAAGTTATGTGTAAAAAGTTCTTATTGAGTATCTTTAAGTTTCATATTTCAACAATATTTATACTAAACCAACTGATCCCGTTGAATAAATATCGCTTATCAATTGAAAATCCCTGTCACAACCGGACAATCAAACTGCTGACGCTGTGTTGCGGGAAAATTGGGTATTCATCGTGGAAAAAATCCGCCCAAAGACTCGAACAATAGCGTTCTGTAACGAGCCGGCGATGCGCTGCGATATGGCGGGCGCTGATCTCCCGTCACAAGCAGCCTTTAACGAGGCTTCTCAAAATGTTCAACAGCTATAAAATTTCTTACAAAATGAAGCAAAACATTCGGAGAGGATATGCTCACCGAGACACTGCTTTTGATCTCCAAAGACGATTGTGTCTCGCGGCCTACCTCCCCGACGACTGTGCTACATGCACGCTGGGGGTTAGGGGGAGGGCGGGGTGTGTGCCTGTGTACACTGGCACGTATGAAATGCATTGTTTAAATGTTACACCGGCGTCTCGGGCGGGTGTGTCGCGAAGCGCGTTTTTGTTGCATAATTCAATGGCATGAACGCTTAACATTATCCTGCTTTGTGCGACCAAGCAGTTGCTTTCACAGGAATTTTAAAACTGCCAACCCGGGTATAATAATAAACGCTTTGGTTTTTGTTTCCAAATTAAAGGCTCTATTTAATGAAGAATTTGTGAGGGAATACCAGTCAGTGGTTACAAAGGAAATTTAGCTGCCAGCAAAGAGACGTTTATTATAATTTCTATCATAAGATGTTTTACACAAACAACAAGAATTTACAAACACAGCGGTTATTGCAACAAATCCCATCGCAAAATATCTTAAAGCATCTTGCAGTGGCACTGTGGCAGTTAAAAGTTTCCCAAACAATGTAGTCGGGTAATGTTTGGAAGTATGCAAGTGGAGGTGCAGTCGTCGTCTGGACCGACCGCGACGTGAGGGGTCGCTCGCAACTATCTCTAATGGGGTAAACTTGTGAGCTTCCCACACTTCATTATCGACCGTGGAGCGATGTGGAGCAAGTTGCGTCAACTGTTGACACCTTGCCACGGTGTTTGATATACCTCGGCGTAAAGCGTCACTTACTATTCTTACTATAACTATATGATAAATTCTTGAACATTAAAGATTACGGTTTATTAATACGAATCGAATAGTAACTCGATCTATCAAGTATCTGATGATCATTCTGAGAAGACAGGGACAGTTAGCGCATCAATTCACTGTTCTAGTAATGGTCCATAAATGACTTTTTCAATACTGGCACAGAGAAGATCTCTGGGTTTCGGATTTAATGTCCATAACATAAAAATGATACGAGATTTCATTCACGATGGATCTCTTTAATGGTGGAAGTTTATGGCTTTGATAATGCGATGCTGCAACGAGCAGCCATATTGTGTAATGGTCCATTACTGCTAGCTCAGCCGGTGGCAGATTTAATTCAGCCAGCACTTGAATATGGTAATTAGATGCGCGCATTGCAATCCGATTGTGACCGTAGCTTCAAGTCCAAAATAAAGTTGTGAATTCTCCGCTGTTGTATTTGCAACCAGTCGATCAACGAGGAGTTCAAACTTTCAAAAAGCGATTATAACATTTTAAAACTTATAGATTAAGTGGATTGGCTATTACTTTAATAAATACTGTGATGAGTCGATTAAAATTTTGGGGAATACTAACTATATCAGAATTGTTTGTATTGAAACAAAGTGTTAAAAAGGAGGCAAACTGATTAACAAGATAACTATGTGACATGGGCAAACATTTCTTATTAACGCAGCACAAAGACAGGCCACCCGAAGCCATCCGAAATCGTCGAAATATGTCGCGTCGCAATAAAATTCCCATTAAAACGGCACCGTGCCGAATGTTCGCGAATGTTCACAGTATCTCTCTCTGATCCTCCGGAGCTCCATCGTATGTTCCTAAATCCTTTGGAGTATGTTTTTCCACGCGGCCAAGCGGAAAATCTAATTGGTACTATGTACGGCTCAAAGGTGAAGACGAAACAAATGCCTCTCGCGTCGAGCTGTTTTTGAACAATTTAATTGCTTCCTTTGTACTCCTCGTTCTACTTTCATATGCATACTCAAGTGTAAGGGATCTGTCCTTGTGTGTAATTATATTGTGAGGATGCTTTCTACATACATGATACAATACTGTTTAAAACATTGTGTATTCTGTATTAGGTCTTTTAATCTCCAGTCGGATAGGCAGACACCTAAACATATATAATAACAATATTTTGTGCTATCCCGGAATTGAAATCTTATTGAGATTTCAAATCTACGAGAGATATAACTATCCCTATTAAAACCTGTGCTTAATTTAAACATTATTGTAATTAAATTATTGTAATGAATACACGCTGATTTGTTGTAATCAAAAACCGATTAATTTAAGTATTCATATTTCTACAAAATATTTCAGTAATCGTGACAATACGGCAAGGCCGAATGAAATGAAATGGTAGCCGAATGAAAAGGTTCAGTTAAATTGAAAAGCAATATTAATAATGACAATTTAGGAGTCCCATTAGGGACGTAGAACATTGTAAGGGAATTAATGTTATGCCCTCGGACCCTCATATATGGATGGAGATGATTTTTTGTAATCATGAGCTGTGTAATGACTGGGGCGATTGTTTGCGATAATGGAAGCCAGGTCCGTCTTTAGTCCACAGATAGCTCTGGGTAGTGGATATGCTACTTACTGGCCGCTACGGACTTCGTAGAACACAATTGAATTGCCATAGAAATGAAGTTTTGTAATGGATTGGTTTATGTCTGCGAACACTCTTAGTAAGGAGTATGTAATGGTGCCCTATAGCATTAGGCTCAGCGCCTATTACATGAGCCACCCACGGGCAACTGGTGAAAAGTGGCTTGTCATTGTGTATGTCTGTTTGTTCATGGTCTAAAACCGTAACGGAACATTATGAAACAGTAATTTTCTAAGCCTTTTCGAATGATCAAAAGTGAAATGCAACATGTTTGATACAAATACGAATGGACTTAGAAACTTGTAGCACCGTTGTAAATTCACAAATACATATAGAGAGAAGAATGTATGGACAAACTGTCCTGTCCTCTGTTTGTTCAAATAAATAAACATTTGGTGGAATTAAAGAGGGTGAGGAGGAGGGCCCCGAGTTCACGCTTTTATATAGAATCGCTTAGATACTCGTATTTATTGGACAAACATACAGTTATTGCTTCATTCTCGGTTTAGTTTTATATGCTTTGTGTGCGTACTTTAGATACGAACATTCAGAGAACCAAAACATCAAACTAACACGTGTAAAGGGCTAAAAAAAGGCTGCCGCATAACTTATAGACTTGTAGAGGAGTCGACTCCCGTACAAATCAACTTTCTGTATGATCCACTAATTGTTGTTTCGGGTCTGGTTGTCATTCATGTGTATGCGAAATCCTATGTGTATGTATCTACTGGTATCTACCTAGCTATCATGACACAGGATAAAACACAAGTGTGAAGCAACGTTTAAAAAAATGTGATATAAGTTAAATAATGAATGAATTATAGTTGTACAGAGATATGAATTTCTTTTAAAGACATGAAATTAATGCACGTTCTAAGTAAACAATACTATGCCATAAAGGCTCTGAAATCGACCCTGTACCTCGTTATTCAGATACTCGATAACCGAGATAGTTATCCATGCCAAATAGTTGAGAATACTCACTGGGGTCTTTGACGGCAGTGATGACGAGACGGAACCCGTTGGCGTCCGTGCCCCAGTTGTCCGTGACGTACTTGAGAGTCACGAAGTTGCTGCGGGTGAACAGCGCCCCCACTTGCTGCTTGGTGTTGCGACACGATAGGTCAGCCTGGAAGCAATGGAAACACTCCTTTATAGTGATGCTATCTTGGTAAATAAAGTATCAGTTGAGGATTGAAGGCCATTTTAAAATAAAAGAATACAGAAGCTTAGTAATATGCTCCAACTTTAATAAATTGTCACGTAATTACTAGGATTTGCTTCTGTTATTTTTATTCAGATACTGCACGGTTGGTGCGGTGGCTTTGCAACAGGCTGACGTACAGCGTGCCGTGGGTTGGATTCCCGCACGGAACAACACTTTGTGTTATCCACAAAGTGTTGTTTCGGGTCTGGGTGACACGTGTATGTGAACTTCTATGTTTGTAAACGCACCCACGTCAATGGCAATGGCTCTCCTGTGTCAATGGTAATGATTTTTAAATAAAAAAAGTAATAATTATTAAATCTGTAACATTAGTCCATGGGTTAATGTTCAGTTGTTGTTAAAAAGTGTATAACAGAAAAATTTAAAATCCGAACCCGTTCATAATGTGCAATTCTAGAATTTTGTTCTTTTTAATATATAGGACAAACTTAATCTTACAATCCACATCATGTTTTTAAATTATTCAGCGATATGTACAGAAGATAATCAGTACTATCAAGGTATTTAGGTATGGAACATTTTCCCGGTAATCAACAAATCATTTACTTATATTATCTAAAATCTGTGCTGCGCCGGGATTTTTTCTTATCTATGTTAATTATAACGTCATAAATAAAAAAATAAATAATAATAAAATGTATTAATTTGCACACACAAGTTTACATGCAGCATGGAAGCAAGTAGTGGCATATACGCAAACGCGACTGTGAACCCCAAACAAGCCACAGTATCTTAGTGGTCCAACACACTCTTTCGGATAGGTACATGATATTAAATTAAGATCAGGGTCCAATACAAACACAACTGAGTCCGTTCAGATTAGTCTGGCGTAATCTGGCGACAGTGTCACCCATTGGACTATTGTGACATGTCAATAGCGTGTGTCTGCATGCTTGACACTCAATGTGTCTGTGTGTCTGTCTGACAATAGCTTGAGACAAATGTAGTATCCACTCGACGTTGGAATGAACAGTAGTATTGTTCAGCGATTGATTTGGCTAATTGGTTCTCTATCTGCAGATAGTTCTAATGTTATTAATTACTCGTGTTATATGTAGGGGGATCTTTGTTTTGATATTACTGTTAACGTTTGATTTTAATATTATTATTTTTTTAAGGGGGACAATCATCGAATGACTGCTCCCGCCTGGGTGAGGTAGGAGGGAGTGTCAGACTCTTACTGACTAAAAGCACCCCATTCCTTCTCTTGCACGTCGAGCCGGAGCCCCGGTTACCCGTTAGGTTCTCCGCGATTCTGAATCGGCATCGGCCCTATTGGGCCCCATCTGTAGTGGTCTGATGGCTCTTTGAGCGCGCGTGATTTTAATATTGGGGTGGTTTTGGAGTTCAGGCTGATTCTTGGCAAATAGAATAGGTACCATCTTTTACAAAAGGTTTAAGCAAGAATTAATTTCTTGTTATTAATCATTATGTACTATACATCATTTAGGATCAGTGGTTTGAGACCAATTTCCTTTAAATAAAGTAGGATGTCGGTTTCATCATTACTTATATTTTTAGGTAATTTGCAGTAACTAATTGCCTTAACGAAGTATATAATCTATTGTTATTTTCCGAAAATAGTAATGAAATGCGCTATGGATCATGTTAACATGCTGCTTTACCTGCATTTGTCTGTTTTTCTAATCATTCGTAGTTGTATCTGTTGGGAGGTCGGAAACTGACGAATTTGGTAAGGTGCTGAGTCTATAGGCAGCATTTATTTGCGTTACCTACGACTTCCTTTTTAATTGTACCTCGAATCCATGCGCTGACTACGTTTCAACAAACTAAATTAAAGAAATTACCAAAAATAATTACACTTTTAAAAGTGTAACCATTAGTTGGACACTGTGTTCTTATCAGCGACAATCACAACAATGAAATATGGAAGCAACTCCGAAGCAATTATTAGAACATTATCATCAATTTTACAAAAAGGGAATTCACTATTACATAAGTAACTGGGTGTTATCATTATTGTATGTTGTGTAACAAATCTATCAGTCGATCTCAATGAAAGTTACAAAATATTAAATGTACCATAATGTCAGTTGGATTGTTTAAGTGGTACGGTGCTCGCTGGTACATTGGATCAGTGAGTAAAGACTCCTGTCTTCAAATTCAAAGCGTCAGTGAACAAATACGTGGATGACGCAGAACTTAATCTTCTTATCATTATCAGCCTGTAATTGTCATACCACTATACAAAGATTCTTCTCAGATAGAAGAGGATGATCACTAATCACCACGCTTGGTCAGAATGGTACCTAAGAGGAGGACAATGATGCAGGTATTTTCTGAAATCTGTTACACAAAGTGTTGTTTGATTCTCGGAGTGTAAGTGAAGAGATGTCCTTAACAATTAAGAGCTATGTACGATGTACCTAATACGTATTTAAAACAAACTGTGAAGTGTAAAATACTATGATAAAACAAAATAAATATTAGTGTCGCGATGGTGGCTCGCTCTCAGCACGGCAGCGCTCGGTTACCACGGGTCCGGGCGGGCGGGGACCGGCGTTCAATCATAGCTTACGGAGGACTGTATATAAATCTGTGGCAGTCGCTTGATCGCTCATGCGCCGGCAATATTTTCTTCATCGAGCAGGGCTTAGTGACGATGTCCGGGCTATATCGCTGTCATATTTCACGGAGAACGATAGCGAAGACGTGACGACCCCTGGATTTAAACACCCCCTCCCTCCTACACCCATACATCACGTCTCGCCGGACACCCAGACGCCCTCCCCTTGCACTGCACAGCTAGTGGACTTGCATTTATTCTTATATACTCCGTTTAATAAAGCTCTCGGGTTGATATTAAAAATTCTTCTCCGGCTCCAGATTACGGCGAGGAATGAATTAAGAAGGGTTTTGTTATGCTAACTATGCCTCGGGTGGCTCTATTAAACACTTTAATAGCCGCGGCTCGACTGAAACACGCTTTTAATTAGTCAGCGCGAACAGAATCCGTTTGAACAGTTGCGAGTTTGAACAAAATGAGTTAACGAGTTCCCTTTGTACTTGCGGCGAGTTTACAGCAATTCTTGTTTGTCACTGTCTTGTTAGTTGTACGGGAACCGAGCGGTCGCGGCCACTCTTTCAGTGATTCGCACTTTTCCAAGAGGCGCGGGCAGCAGCGCGCTGGGAAATACAAAAGTTCACTTTCAAAGAACGCTCTATTTCGTTTCTCTTTTAAATGCGTTACGTAGAATGTTTGGGTGCAAACTCACGGTGCATTTTTAACCGCAATTGCATCTTTGAACAACAATGTACAGTGGTGTGATGACTAAAAAACAATAAAGCCATCAATATACCTTTTTGGTCGAGTTTCAGTAACTTAAAAGTTCACCTTTCCTTACAACTTCAAAACAATTAAGATTAACTTAAGCCTTGACTAATTAAACTTCTTATGAACAGTCGTAAGTATGACAGAGAAAACCATAATCGGTGCTCCTCCTCTCTACAGGAATTTACTTAATTAAAGAGTAAAACTACCAGCAAATAGCTGACACATTTCCATAACAAAGGCTCTATTTCTTTGCTCCAACAATGGTTAATATAATTATATGACAATTCCCCCCTACCAACGGTTCTCGCCTAACAAAGGGGTACAAAACTAGTATTCTAGGAGCACAATGCAGCTAAGATTGCACCTACTTGCTATTCAGAGTCCGTCAGACTTGAGTCCCTGGTAGGGGGCGCCACGGTAACTTTAAAACGTGAAGTCTTACATCTCACTCACTTTGACTTAAGTAGAGCTTCATTGTACTTAGTGTGAGTTATGTCGGAATCAGGCTGCAGTCTCTCTTTTGTTACTTGGAGCAATGACTTTGGTAATAACTTGTCCTGTTATTGGATTTATCGATTTCAATGTTCTTAGTCAGTAGCTTTTGTAGTTACTGTCTGTCTATGATGCTGCAGCAAAGGCGTGACTTTATGTGTTCTGAGTAAAGCATGAGGATCTGCAATTGCATGGTCTTTACTTTACTTACTCATATCAGGAGTATGTGAAACGGAATCGTATTCCATTTTCCAAGTGATTAAACCGAGAATTATTTAATTAATATCAAATACCGCCATAAATAGTTCAGTGTAAAAACACAACACGGTGAACTTTTCTTCGCCATTTATAACAATAATGTGCTAAAAGGCTGCAATATCGTTTGGTATTGATAGATGGCGCTCCCATCGGCCTCCACAACTCTTGTCATTTATTTCTCGAAATCGTTCCGTTGTACGTGACTCGAAATATAATCTCACTTACTTCGGACCGAATCAGAAACTAAAGCTTTCATATTGTTGCGATACTTCCTTCTTTGGTAGATAATTGTGACAGAGATTCTTGTTTAATTACTATTAGTCATAAAGTTCAGTGTTTCTTTGCAACGTAAACGTTAACATTTCAATAACTAGGATACACTATACATTTATATTTCTCTCTTGAATCCAAGTTCACGCATAAAATATCCCGGTATTTTATCGCCGGAACACTCATCATGGCACGAACTAATTGACCATTAATATAAACCCGAACGTTTCCATTTCTACTTTATTTGTAAATTCCATGAACCACTGTTTCACTTAGCATTTAAAACTCAATGTATGAAAATAATGTTCACTAACTTTTGACAAAAAAAAGAAAACTGTTTTTGCCAGTCAATAACAAAGTTTTAAAACATTTGTTAGAGCTTTGTACGTGAATTTATAGCAAGTATAAGAATGCGCTATAAAATTTAAACTTCAATATGTTTAGCGCAAAATGTGAACAATATACAGTATGGTGGTCACCGGGGCATGTGCCCGCATAGCTCCGAAACTATTCCGGGCATGGCGGCGCCAGGCATCAAAGTGTTTGTTCCTTATTGTCTCAAAGTGTCGCAGATAGTTGGCTACACAGGTGGCCTCAGCCCTTTGTGCGTAATATATCCACAAATAAACAGCTCTCTGTTCCACCGCTCCACAGTCCCCGCGACGAACAAATATATTCCATTTAAGTTTAGCCATGTTTCGCTTTGTATTGTTTCGTGGCTTCGTGTGAAATTTTTCCCAAATATTTCCAACGGAATGCTGAAGTTGGTCGGCACTGGGGTTTGAAATGTTTCATGTGATGTGGTGTTTGTTCGAATATCATAACTCTCACAAACGATTTCGGAATTCACGGCTCATATTTATACAGTGGAATGAGTAATAGTTGCATTATAATGGCTATTAACATAGCGACGATGGAATCCACGTAATTATTGTATACCTACTTAAGTAATTGTAATATTTGTGACGCATGTCATTAGCTGACAAAATATTTCCGCATTCATTTCAATAGGATCGAAATGGCAAACTTTAAAAGCTTTAATGTTAACGAATAATGTCCCTCGCGTTTCCATTCCTACTTTATATTTAAATTCCATGAGCCGCTGTTTACATTTCACTTAGCATTTAATTACACACATCACGGGCTATCGCGGCTGCACATCCGGAGTTGGGAACAGTTTTCTCATTAAAACTTCCATTTGAATTGAACCGTCAAAGTTTCAGTGACAATTACATATTGCCAAGAATAGCACTAGCCGCTGCACACTGCAGGTTAGTGCTGCGGCAACTTGCGCCGGGTAATCCGGGTAATCCAAGTTGGGAAGGTCCTAACTTCGGCCTTTGTCATATGTCCGACAGCTGAACACCGGATATATTTTACATATGAAAGTCGGAAAAGTAAAGTTGAAATGTCAGAAATTGCTTCGTTGAAATATGATACGAGTGCAGTGATCACTTTTAACGGTTTTGTTTTAGTGGATATTTTGACGGAATGTATAGCGCGATGCGGCAATTTATTTATACTAAAAAATCTATTTCTTTTTAAGATTCATATAGAAAATATCTTTTATTACTTATTTATATCACTCCTTCCTAGGTGTACGTATGTGATATTATAGCATAGTAATTAGTATAATTTTAAATTAGGTTGACTCACATTGTCCCTTATACCCTTAAATGAGTTAACTAATCATAATATTCAACAATAATACCTCAGCCCCACAAAGGCCAACCCGGCAGTAGAACGGAATAAACATCTCGGTACGAACAAAACTTGGCAAATCCACAATGGCAGCCAAAACTTATCCGTCCTTTGTTCCAAGTCTCGTTGCGAGACAAACTTCGCAAATTTAAATTTAAAATTGACAAAAGTTGCATTACAATTCGTTTGTTAATTATTTGGGTTTCAACACCTGGCCGGTAGCTGGCGTCTTTGGCGGTTTTTATCACCAGAACATTTAAGATACGAATTATTTGTTTGTTTTTATAATTTACTTGAATATAGACATATCTAGATAGTAATGTAGTCTAATAGATATTAGGACAGGTTACACCATTTTTAATTAAAATTGAAAACGCTTCGGAAGAGGAATGCAATGAATAAATGCCTGGAATCCGATCTCATCGTCAGCGAGACAGCGTGAATCTATTATGACTCGGCATGACTGAAATTATAATAATTACTTTAATTGCCACTGCTAAGGGCGAGCGTACTGAATTAATTAAAAGAGGTGAAAATGGTCCGTTTGTGATAAGGAAAATAGGTCTTATTCTTGCTTTGTATCTTTATGTATGTAGCTTTACAATTACTATTTAAAAAGATTACAAAGATGAAGATTTGAAAAAGACGATCTATGCTAACAGTTTTTTGGTAGTTTGAGGAATAAATGCTATTCCTCAAGAGGTATATGACAGTAGAAAGACGAAGGCCTCACCTTCGGCGGTGCCGTGGCATGTGCCCCATCATACACGTAGAGATGATCGTTGCAGTCGAGCTGCAGCAGGTCGAAGTGCAGCATGAAGCGCTGCAGTATGCTGTGCGTCTGAAACGTCACCGTGCAGTCCAGGTTACGTTCGTTGCGCGACCAGAGCACGCCGCCGTCCACCTTGCGGTACTGTCGCTGGAGGAAGTGGTCCTTGCATATCGACTCCATGTAATCTGGGGACAAGAGATGTTCGATATTACTTTTGTAGAAGAAACAGTATTAACATTTCTAGTGGTCTTTGTGTTGATAAAATGTGTGTTAAAAGTATCCATCTCACTATAGTTTATCAATTTGTTAAATTAGGCAAATCACAGTGGTAACTAGTATGTATGATTAAAACAAATATTTTGTTTTAACCTTCTATAGAACTAGTCTACGAACCGCTAAAGTTGCATAGCGCAAGTTTGAAAAACAATATAAATATGTAGTGGAAGATAAACAAAAGTAATTAGCGTGGCTACATGATACAGCGGCTGACACAGGGTGCGCTAGGGCATCGATCAGCCGAGCCTTGAGACGACAATAAATGATTGCCTGCCATACAGGCCAGGACCGAGGACGGAGGATGGAGGACGGAGGGACGCAACACAAACATTCACCTTAAGTCCCCGATGATGGACATTCGATTAACTCCCTCCAAGAGGGACCTGTTTACTCGCTGTCCTCATCTGTGTTTAGACAAATATAAGTTTACCAAGACGGATGTTATTAATATCTTGAATGTTTTTCTGAAGTATTGACTTCATCTTTTGGAAATCGGAAATTCCATACTTGTGTTTCTTATCCATATTGTTCATGTGTACTCAATGCATCCTAGTCACCTAAATACGTAACCATAGGAAATGAACTATCACATTCTTTAATTTATCGTTATAGTATCAAAAAATTTCATTTCACACGCTATTCGCAATAAAAAATAAACCTACATCACCTATTATAGAGTTGAAAATCGTGTTGATCTTGTTTAAGATATAGCTGAGATAAAGATTAGATTATCTGAGTCGGTTTATCCGTTGGTCGGTTGCCAGTTTGCTGGAGACTACCGAGAGAACAACTGCTGGTCGCAGACTCTTGTCTGCACTCACTGATATTATGTGAGTTAATCTTTACATCTGGAATCTGACTAACAACAGTGTAAACAACAAAAAACTATTGGCAACTTGTTAAGAGTTGGTCAGGTCTTTGGCTTATTGAGTTCACTTCCACTTCAATATAGTTACCGTGTTTCGATGAAAGAAAAACTATTTAAACATCCAAAACGTTATATCCCATAAAATACGATAGTTTTCATAGAAATTGGTTTATTCTTTGATATTTGTTCCCAGGTCCAACGGCAGTATAGTTCTGCTGCTGCTAGTTCTGGTAGCTGGCTCTTCATCAGCTCCAGCTATGCGTCTCCTGAGCACAATGGTGACTGGAGTCACAACTGGGTTGGAGATACCCACTGAGGCCACAGCTGGGACCGGAGTGGGCACTGGTAGTGTGCAGCTTGTGATTAATGTGCACACGGATAGTAATGGAAATATTGAAGTGTTTACTAATTAGTGAAAATATTAAAGTTTTCTTTATAAAGTGGTTCGTGTACGTGTGACGCTGTAAATAATCGGATTTAAGTGTGTGAGCGTGATAAGATGTCGTGCATAAGGCCTAAGTAGAATACAAGACAACGATACTTTATTTAAGGTTAAAATAATACTTGTGGCCGTTTTCATCAACCAGCACTAAAGCATTTCTTACTAAATGTTATTTAGCGTGACGTAGTAATTAAACTAACCATACTACATCTAATAGTACTTAGGTGTCACTTGTAGGTAGGTGACAGCAAAAATTATGTTAAATTTCATGTATCTTAGGTCAGCAGTCCCTTAACAATCAGAAGAAGTTGATGAAAATAGCTGTTAAGTTTGTATAAAAGAACAATTTTTAAAAGTAAAGTATTAAAGAAGAAAGTACAAGTGTAGCCAGGAAATTGTACAATGTACGTCAATTTGAAGATAATGGAGATAAAAGGAATGAAAACGTGTGAACGATAGATATAATATTAGTGATAAGACAACAATCGTACACTGACAGCTCGATGGAGTTACGATACTGTATATATGTACTAAAAACCTATATAATATACTCGTATATAATATAAACTATAAATAGCCACTGCTGACCAAAGGCCTCTTCTCACACAGAGAAGGTTTGCGCATTAATGACCACGCTTGCTCAATGCGGGTTGGCAATTTCAAACTTATAATAAGAAATTATAAACCCAGGTTTCCTCACGATGTTTTCCTTCACCGTTTGTCAGTAGTGTCTAAGTAATCTTAGAATAATACAGTAATCAATAAAAGTTTTATAGGAAAATTATGTATGATCAATTGTTTGAAAAGCAAAGATTGAAAATAAAACGAAATAAAACAGAGTAAAGAAACTAAACATGCATTAGTTTAAGTCTCAAATTAAGTATTAACAACGATATTGAAGTAATTAAGAATAGTTAAGATATTTAAGCAAGCAGTGCAGGGGTTTAATTTTAACTTTAACATTGTGCAAACTAAAGGAATTTAGCTCAAAGGAATAGCAGTGGAACAAGATCCAGCGACTGAAATTTGAGAACATCAAATAAGATAATATTTGAGTTCAGGAATCCGATGTTTAAATAAATATTCAAGTGTTCCGCTAAAAGATATCGTTTTATCTTGTTGATAAGGTTGTTAATGCGTTGGTTAGGAGTTTTCTTGCTTTCTTTTGAACCATACGTTTGTTAGGAACGAGAATGCGATCAGAAAGTTTTGAATATAGCGTACAAATAATGTTATGTTTGATTTGTATTACGTATATTCAGAAGTAGTATTTCTTTTTGAAATGTTGTATTAAATGGGATTAATAAGACAACTAATAATACATTAGAATTGTGTCTGTAATTTGTGTGTCATAAGTCATAACCATAAGATACTGTGCCAATGAAAATTATACCATACATCAATGTTTGTAGATTGAAAACTTCTTAAATACTTTGCTATGCTCGGGAATTGAAACTGTGTAAACACATAACCAATGAAGTAGTTAAGTTTTAGTTAAACATAAAAATATGAATGTAATGTAAAGTATAGAATGAACCTGCTACCACTAATATAAGTTGTACTTAATACCAAATGCCTAAAGCCGAAATAAAGCCTGCTACTCTTCTTAGGAGAGAAGAAGTAGCATGGTTAGACGAAGAAGATCATTATAAAATAGTTCCTAAACCTCGTTGTTTATCTTAAGGTAATTGGTAGAATATTTTTTACTATTTTGTACTCATTAGTGAACGCTAATGAGGTATAAAGTAACAGATTTAATTAGCATTTAGCGACGAAAATCTACCAAATGAGTGTATATTATATGTCTAAACAAATACATGTATAAAGATACATTTCGGTTTTTGTATTCAAAGTGAAAATGGCATAATTGGAACTTACACAAATAAAAGGGTAGTTGCCAGGGAATAAAAATTAAAAATCTAAAATATAGATACACACGTATTTTTTTTCATTTTCTGGTATAAAGTTACAATACTTAAATAAAGTGGAGTTAAGTTTAGGAGTGGGAGGTATTTACGTCACTAAGTGCTACATTTTTAGCACGCTGTGACGTCACACGACATTTCAAATCAATATAGCGTCGGAAGTATTTAATTTTGTGAGAAAAGAAAAAATACGTGTCTAACGTTTTAAAATAATCTACCAGACGAACATTAAAATAAAATTTAGGAAACTACCCTATTATTGTATTCTATTAAATATTAAAACTGTATGACTAAAGTTAAATGCAGTGCAATCCAGTTTCAAGCTCAGTTCGCAAAATGGCGAATTATGTGTTGCAAACAGTTGGCAATTTTGTTTTTTTTTCAACCGATTCGTTTGTACTGAAATTGTCTACAAACTACTTAATTGACGCGTTTAAAAATAGGTTTAAATTGGTTACTGCAAACAATTTAATGGATTATTCGTTTCATATGAAAAGGACGCACATATGAAACGTATAATTTGATGGACTGGTTTAAATGTGAGGTCTCGAATACATAGCAATCATTGACATAAAAAAAAACTAATTTAGTAACATAAAATACTTACCTAGATATACATACATAACTTGGCTAACCTCAAATGCTTAATAAAACAGTATTAAATGTGTCATACCGCTCTTTAGTTGAGGAGACCCATACCATAGTTCACTCTCATGGGCTGTTGATAATGTAATGTAAGTCGTTAAAGATTCGAAATTCATATTTATAGACCTTTCTAGAAAACTGAATTAAATATAACGATTCCAAAACAAACAGGATACGTGATATTAATGTTATTGTCAATACAGAAGGCATTGAGAAACAAAACGATTGGCCAAGTATTCTAGATTAGATAAAAGAAAATAATCAAATGTTTCATCTATATAATATCGTATTGATTATATACCTATATGATGATACAAATGATATTGAACTTGTCCCCGAATTCTAGTTTGTATAGAATAAACATTTATTTATTCTATACCAAATGTGAAGAAATTGTTTGAGGCGCAAGAGTGTGGCAATGGGTTTAACTAAGCATGTAGTACCACCCTTAAAGCGGAGGACAGAGGCATGAAAAATACTGACATGCAGCCTATCAGGAAAATGCCAAGGTAAAAAAGCCCTAATGTTAATTACATTATAACATAGTTCTGTATGAAAGTGCTTGTTACATCTTTTTGTACTTTTGATTAAATAATGTAAAACTTTTTATACGATTTTCTTTTATTACCTAGTGTGACTTGTAATAATTAATACGAATAAATTACCTAGCCTAGTTATTATGCATGGTAAAAGGGAACAATAAAACTTATTCTATTTAGCCCTTCTTCCTATAATGGTGTCGAAAATTGCCGAAATCTGCCGACTTTTCCCGAAGTGGTCACGTACTGTGGTCATTGCAGGAGCTGATGAGTCAACCACTGGGCTACCGGTATTACTGTGTCTATCAAATCAACCGTAATGGCGTTAGACACGTAAAAACGAACCGTATAGTTACTTTGAATTAGAGCCCTTTTTGTTTTATCGAAATCAGTGTTTACCAAAATGAGTTTAAGCATTTGGTAATATGGTTCGGTGATTGGCAGGAAGAGTTTTCGAACGGTGAGTTTATGGAATTTTTAAAAATCCTAATAAAATGAAAGTTGAAAATCTTCCTTGTGTAATGAAAAAGGT